CTCTGCTTCTCTTTCCACTCTTTTTGTCTCTGCTTTGCTTCATTCTGAACTCATGCTCCCTTCATGTAGTAAACAAACAGCATGGCCGTCAACAGTCCCAGACCCGCACTCTCTCAGCTTAGCAAGCCCACTGGGGAGAGACGGATTTCTCTCAATAGCTATATATCAACCAAGGAAAAGACTCTAATGATTCTGCTTGCATTCCATCCCCATTTCTGAACCAGCCACGAGTACCAGAGTGATAGGATATGTGCCCACCCAGGGGCAGGATGAAGGGGCTCAAGCCTCACAACTGAGAGTCCCAAATAAGACCACGTGAAATGGGGGGAGGGGACATCCCCCAAAGTAATAGGGATGCTAGGCAGAGAAACGCAACATGGCTGCTGTGCCGTATGTGGCTTACGACTCATGTCCAACAATTGCCGAAGGAAATGAAAGGAGGAAGAAGGCATTTGGGTGGTGCAGACAGTAGCACTTAAACCAGCCTTCCCTGAAGGATGGGAAATAAGTGGCATAGATCATCAGAGAGAATCTCTGTGAGGACAAAGAACTGAGAAAGTGCAGGGTGTGTTCGAAACTACTAGTGACATGACTGCAATTAACCTCACATCTTTAAACTTTTTTATAGTGATGCATTTATGTTCATGTTTATCTTTCGTTTAGGCAACCGATACTGGTTTTCCGTTTTCATGCTAATAGAAAATTTCCGTTTAAAAATAACTTTAAGTAAAAAAGTAAGTTAGCTGAAAGAAAAATAATAAGCAAATAATAATAATACAGACTTAGGTAGCTGTGGACAAATTAATACATGTGTTATGCCAATCACTGAGGTACGAGAAATATTGGCTTACTATATAAACAGAACTTTCTCTCCCCACGGAGCAGTAAAAACCAGTAACTTCGATTGCTTGTCCATATGGTATGTCTGGCAAGCTAAACATTATGCCTCTCATTGTGTGAATGGCAAAGTGTCAGCCCAGGTCACCAAATAGATCTGTAATAAGATCCTAGAACCCCCAGCTTCTGACTGGCAACACCTATGCCCTAGACATAATTGTGTCTCATGGCAAAAGGGGAGAGCCAGCATTCCAGGACATTGGCCCACTGTATTACTCTGAGTTTCAGAGACACTCACACAAAGGGAGGGTTGATGTGAAAATTGCTCATCCCAGAGTTGGCCAGGCTGATTGTCCTTGAAAACAGAGGGACCTATTCTCCGTGGTCACCCAAGGCCAGCTGGCTCCAAGGAGTACCAGCCATCTCTCTGGGGCCAGAGTTTCCCCAGCTGATCTCCACATGTACCCACATGTAAAGTGGCAGCTGGGCCCTCAGTCGGATGACTGCTTGGTTTTACAATTAGCTACCAATTTCAGCCAGAGATAATCTAAGGATTCCTATTATTGTCCATCCACCTTTTCAATTATTTTCTCTAGGCCAAAGCAAGAAGACATCAGGGTTTTGACGTGGATCGAGATACCAAAAATCTGAACAAAGCCTGCAAAGGAATGGGTATGAAAGATATTTGGTTTGCTAACTTACTTTTGAAGTTGATTAAATTTGATCTCATATCTAACTTTCCCATGATCTTAGGAAGATGACCCCCAGTTATCTCGTGTCTTCCAAGCTAATCAAAGTTGATTATGTCTAAGGTTCTCTTTATAAAAGATCCCAAAGTTAAAATTGGATCCTATTGCCTTTCAGCATTCAATATAATAATCAGAAATGGGACATTATGACCTTTAATTTGACCTGGAGGTAGAAAAAGCTTATGAGAAGTATAGTTCATGCAATCCTAGTATCATCTAAACCCCTCTGATCCCTTTCATGGGGATCAGGTGGGAATCAGGTCTGATGAGAACTGGATTAGGGATCTGAGAGCTGCATCTAGAAGTTGATCAGGTGAACGTAAAACTGTGGTCAAGGTCAAGAATCAAGGGTCAAAACTGGAGAAGTTGTTTATATCCAGGCCTAAGGTTGAGTGCATGGCCAACAGTTGGAGACTAAGCAACAGATCAGGAGTAAGGTGACCCCAGTAACAATGTGGGACAAGGGAGAAAGCATCTAGGAATAAGGCCATGAAGAGAGGCTTTGGGACCCAAGGAAATGCCTAATGAACTAAGGTTCTCGTCCCAGAGTATGGGTTATAGTATATTCATGTAACCATCATCACTAATTTCAGAACATGCTCATCATCCCCACAAGGAACCCCACAACCATTCGCAGCCACTCCCCACTCTCCCCTCCCTTCAGCCTCAGGCAATCACTAATCTACTTCCTGTCTGTATGGATTTGCCTATTCTGGACATTTCATATAAATGAAATCATACAATATGTGACCTTTTGTGTCTGGCTTCTTTCACTTGGCATAACGTTCTGTAAAAACAAGTTCTAGGTTTTTACTTGAAAGTAAATTTGGGGAGATTTACTTTCCTAGGAACGGGTATTGTGGTAGAATAAATATAGTCATAAATTCTTTGTGTGACTCCAGAGGAAAGGACTGGGATCCATGGTAGAAATCTAATAAGACATAGTTTGTTTCAATATAAGGGACTATCTAGTATAGAATAGTCTGCCTTTGCCCAAGAAATGTTGGAGAAGTCCCAGGAGAGTCGGGGTTGGAGAAGATCGGGAAAGGAAGCGGTAGAAGGGATTTCTACATAGTAAGTATTCTGGAATAAATGAGAGAGAGAGTGAGAGACAGAGAGAGAGAGAGGGATGACAACTAGGTTGCTTGGTTTGGGGGCATCAGTGGAAAGCTCAGGAGAGAAGAGCTGTTCCTTGCTCATATCCTGACCTGGCCAGTCTTGGACAACAGCTGTCTGGAGACATGTTTAACAGGAAGTGGCAGGATGTTTATAGTTCTGATGTTTGCAGAGTGGCTGAGCCAGCCTCACAGGTGCACTTCCCTGCTGCCTCCCAAATGAGGTCCTGACACCTGGATGTGGGTTGGAAATGAGAGCTGAAGTGGGTGTAGGAATGATTCAGCCGCAGCGAAGGAGAAATCCCCGCGTTCTCAGCCACCATGCACGTTTAGTGCAGCAAGCACAGGTGGGGCACCTACTGAATGGCTTAAGTCCTGCAGTGTCCTCTCCCTGCTTTTGGATGTGGCTACAAGGTGGGACCACTCTCGTGCTGGTTACTCTTGTAGAGCACCTCCTATGTGCCAAGGGCTATGCTGGGTACTGACGACACATCACCTTGTGTAACCTTCCCAACAACCCTGAGAAGTTGTATTATAACAACCTCACAGATGAGAATGCCGAGGCTCAGAGGTTAAATATTTTGCCCAAGGCCAAAGAGTTATGAAATGAAAAGTGGGCAATCAGAAACTAGCGCCACCTTGGAAAGCTGTGATTTGGCTGAAGGTTTAGAATTGCAACCTCTCCTAATAAATGCAAGCCAAAGCAAAACTTGATCATTGGCAAAATGTGTCAGCGAAACCATGCACCCGTCTCAGTGATACACCATCCCTTCCACGGCCGGATGTCATTGTCTAGAGCCATGCAGTCCAATAGCTCACAAAGGTGAGCCATAGAAGACACTTTATACGTTTTTGAGAAACCAAACTTTAAAAGAAAAACGAAAACAGGTGAAATTAATGCTAATAGTATACTTTCGTTCATTTAATACTGTGTCAAAAATATCATTTCAACAGACAATCCATACAAAAATTAATGAGGTATTTGACATCCCTTTTTTTTCTCACATTAAGTCTTCAAAATATAGGTACCCTGCAGGTACAGAACATTTCAACTTGGATCAGCCACACGTCAAGTCCTCAGCAGCTGCATGCTATTCACTGCATTGGGCATAGCAGGTCTAGAGGTCCCATATATTCAAAAGATTACGTATACTTTCCACCCACTCACCTACCTACACAATTCAAAATAATATGAATTCTATACCATAAGACAATATCTGAGTTTTCCAAAGAGTAATAACATGAAGATTTCCCTGCTGTTTCTTTGGTGCCCCTGCTTTTCTGGGTCCTAAGTACCTGCCTGGTCTGGGTCTCGTGGTTAACCCACAACGGCCCTCTGTTCTCCCCCCAGAGCGGAACCTCTTTGTCAGGCCTTCCTCTCAGGGCCTTGTGCCCCCTGCTGCTCCATCCCAGCACAGCCCCTCTGAAGAGAATGCATGGACCCCAACATCCATTATCTTCTCTGAAATGTAAAAGGATGTTTGTCATTCTTCCTCCCAGAAACACAGAAACAGACGCTTAGAGAGAAAAGCTGTCTTGGAGGTTATCCAGTCCACAGCTTCGCAAACCTTACCGTGCATTTGAGTCCTCAGGGGCTGTGGGGAGTAGGTAGGGTCTGCGCGGGAGGTTCTGAGTGGTTTCTGAGATAAGTTCCCAGCTGATGCTGCTGCTGCAGGCCGTGGGACCATGCTTTGGGGAGCAAGATCTAGCGCATCTGAAATCCACAGAGACTAAGCTGTGCTGTTCAAGCCACACAAGAGCGGAGTCAGGCCTCGTGACCCTGCGCCCAGTGTTCTTTCCACTCCCCGTGGACGGGAGTGAACTTCAGGCCGAGCTGCTGCTCTGCCGCTGACGGGTGCCATGACCTCAGTTTTCTCATCTGCAAAATGGGGCTAATAATGTTTCCTCACAGGGAGGCGCTGAGGATAAAGCAGGCAGCACAGCGCCCAGCACCTCCCTGGCCCTCGCTATATGCTAATCTCTTGAACAATATGCTCAGATCCAAACTCCCCACAAAGCTCATTCGATCCATATGAGCAGTGAGTGGGTCCACCCCAAGTGGTCTTTGTTCTCCATGGCTGAGGGTGTACCAGGTGGAATGGTGTCCCCCCCCTCCCAAATACATGCCCCTGGAACTTGTGATGTGACCTTATTTGGGAAAAGTGTCCTTCCAGATGTAATTAAAGATCTTGAGATGAGATCATCCTGGATTACCTGGGCAGGCCCTAAATCCATTGACAGGTGTCCTTAGAAGAGAAGACACACAGGGAGAAGGCCATGAGAAGACAGGCAGAGATGGGGGTGATGCAGACAAACCAAGGAATGCTGGGGAGTGCAGGCAGCCTCCAAAAGACGGAAGTGGCAATGAACTGATTCTACCCTGAGCCTCTGGGGGCAGTGTGGCCCTGCTGACGCCATGATTGCAGACTTCTGGCCTCCAGAATTGTGAGGGAGTAAATGGCTGTTGTTTTAAGCCACCTAGTTCGTGGTCATTGTTACAGCAGCCTCAAGAGACTAACACAGTGGGCAAGTGGAAAATAATGACCCTCCCACACAGGCAAAATTCTCCCTCATTTGTTACTGCATCTTTGTTCCCTGCACCTCCGTTTCCAAAGGAGAAACTAAGGGACTGGGAAGCCCAGTGGTGTGAGCAGAAGAGACTGGCCCTCGGGCACCAGAAATGGGGCTGCAGCCCCCAGGCTCAGCGAGGCAGGCTGTGGCCGGCGTTTGGAGCCTCTGGGGAGAGCTGAGCCCCTGGCCCCTGGTTCACTGTGTGGAACCCTCATCTGGCACATGGGCCCCTGCTGTGAAGTGGAGGGTACTTCAACCCCAGTGGCCTCCATCCTGCTGAAACCCAGCTCAGTGTCTTCCCAGAAAATTGCTGGGAAAGCAAAACCCAGGAGGCCTGCGGCCCCCCCAAGGCTGATGGTCACCCCGTTCTGACCTCTGCCGTGTGATTACTCGACAGTGTCCCATGCATAGTCAGGGCTGAGGTTCCTTCTGTTCTCATATTTTAAAAAGCCTTTCCCAGAACCACTGGGGACTGGCCCCGGTGCCTCAAGCCATTGTAAATGTTTACAGGAAATTGTTCAGCAGCACAGACTGCTTATATGACATGCATATTGTGAAATGTAACATGAGGTCACTGTTCAGTAAATCGTTTCTTGGTTGGGTACTGTGAACGGCTCCCAGGAAAACCCTGCGACCTGGACTCAAAGAGCTTGAGCAAAATCTAGTTATTTCCACGCTGCCCCCTCCCCCACCTCCAGGCTGTCGCTGAGCCATCCCAACGACTGCTTTGCTTTCTGATCTCTCTTTTTAAAGCATTACAGGAAGGAAAGTCTAAAAAACATTATTATTTTTTTTAACTTGAACTCGATTTTCTTGAATTATCCAGATGCGAGTGGACTATGGCATCAGAACATTTCCTATGGTCCTGGGTTTCCTATGTGTCCCTGCTACCTTCAGCCCACCTGAGTAGCACATGCAGCTTAGAACAATGCAGAGACAAGGTTCAGTTATAATGCAGTGCAAACTTCTCCATTCATTCATTCATTCATTCATTCATTCATTCATATATGTATGCATGCATTTAAACATGCATTCATTCAGCAAGTCATCTGATAAATATTGAGAGACTTCTACGTGACGATAGCAGTGAGCAGAACCTTGCCCCCATGGAACTTGCAATGTGGCATGGCAGGACAGAGAAGGAGAACAAGCCATGTGAGAGTCACAGAGGTAGAAAAAGTACCTCATCCATCCCAGAATAGTTCAGAGAGTTAAGTACTAACGGAAGAGTGGGAGTGAGAGTGAGGACCACAGATAACGGTGTTCCAGGTAGAGGGAACAGCCCCTGCAGAGACCCAGCGGTAAGAAAGAAACTGCAAGTCATTCACAGAGTTGACGGAAAGGGGGCCTGGGAGAGGGTGAGTGGGGATGGATAAGACTTTGAGAGGCAAGTAGGAACTAATCCAAAAGGCTTTATATGCCCCTCTAAAGAGTTGAGGCTTTATTCTGGACTTGAAGGGGCCTGTATTGAAAGGTTGGGATACAGAAAGGTCATTCTGGGGACAGTGACTGCTGATTGGAAAAGGTGAGCGTAAGGCAGGGACCCCATGTGGGGGTCAGGAGTTCTGCTGAGTGATGTGACAGAGGTGAGGATGGAGAGAAATGGGTGATCTGAGAGAGATTATACTAAGGAGGTGAATTAGTGAGGTTTTCATGGTGACTAATTGGCTGAGACATGAGGGAAAAGACAGAGCCAGGAATGAGCCCCAGATTCCTGGCTGGCACAGCACAGACTGGGCCACCTGGGAGGCAGGCAGGCTCCTTGCAGGAATGACAGTGGTAAGGGGCCAGGCCTGAGATGTGTGTGTGTGGCGGGGGGTGGGGGGGACTTAGGCCTGCGCAGCAGCAACTCACATGGCAAGAAAGGGGAGTATTCAAGAGATTTTTAGGAGAAAAAGAAGAAATCCCTTTTGAAGTGAGATTTCTGGCACTCATAAATTAAAAGAAAATAATGTCACAAAGGAAGTAACCGGATACACATTACGTAGGTGAAGTCTGCAGGAGGAAATGAAGAGGAACGGCATCAATAACGGTGTTGGAACTGAACCAGAATGAGGCAGGCAATTAGCCCTTAACTAGTTTTACAAGTGAGCTCATCCTAGAACGTTCTGTTTCTCCAACTGGAATCAAACAACTAGATCTTCCCCAAATTGTAAAGGTGGAACTGATCTTGAAACTAAGTGAACACTCTACCACCATAGTCAATTTAAAACATTTGCATCACCTCAGAAAGAAACTGCCTACTCCTTAGCTATCATTCCCTTACCCACCCCATCCCCAGCCACCAATCTCTTGTCTGTCTGTCTATATTTCCCTTTTCTGGACTTTGATATGATGGACTCGTTTAATACGTGGTGGTCTGCGATTGGCTTCACTTAGCATAATGTTTTCAAGGTTCATTCATGTTGGGGCATTTCTTTTTTCTGGCCAAATAATGCTCCATTGGATGGATATATCGCATTTTGTTTGTCCTTTGTCCAGTGATGGGCATTCAGGTTGTTTCCACCTTTTTGCTGTTATGAATGATGCTGCAATGAACATTTATGTACCCGTTTTGTGTGGGCACTCGTTTCATTTCTCTTGGGTATATACCTAGGAGTGAAATTCAGGAACAGGCTATACTCCTTCCGCTTCTCACCACAGTGCCTAGCCCTGTGCTTCATGCAATGCGAGGCCTCCGTGGATATTTGTCAAGTGACTGAAAAGAATACAGTTCACCCCAAAACATTAAAGTAAAGGGTCCATGTAGGTTCCCCTGGAGCCACTGACCACCATCTTGGCTTCCTCAGACCTGACGAAAACAAACCTCCCTCTTGTTTCTGGCCACTCTCACTTTGTTTCTTTCTCCTGCACTCCAGGAACCGATGAAGCAACCATCATTGAAATCTTATCAAGCAGGACATCGAATGAGAGGCAACAAATAAAGCAAAAGTACAAGGCAACGTACGGCAAGGTGACTCCAAGGGTCCTGGCAAGCATGCACATGGCCTTGGCCATGGCGGTCTGTGCTTCCTGTACATTTCCCCAGGCAGTGGAGACCATCTGTACAGCTTTACTGAGTTAGCCCAAGAGGGGAAAATGGGATAACTATTTAAAACTTTAATTGACTTTAGAAAAACCAAAATTGCCTGTGAATTTAATAGCCTGTAGAATCAATACTCATTTTTAAAATTGACTTCATTTTTCTATTAGTCCTTCTATCATTTTTTTCTACTCCTTTGGACTAATTCCATGTATTAACTTACAGGTAGGCCTGTGATTTGAAAATCAGCTTTCACAGGCGGGTCTGTATATACGAATTCATTTATTCAGCTGTCTTCAAGAATAATATATTCTTCATAAGTAATTGTTACAGAAAACAAACAAAAAAAACCCAAAAACCTTCATTTCATTTAGCATCAACACCTTTTTTCTTTGTTTCTTTTCTTTCATTTTTGTTGTTGTTGTTATTGATGGTGTTATGTATAGAAATCTTTAAGTGCATTAGGCTTTCTATTTTCTTTATTAATATATAGTGACCACAATTTAATGTTTCCTGAACGTCCTTAGCATGATCAGTATGCAAAATGAATATTAATTACTGTGCTATGTTCTAATCCATATTTATAAAACCTTTACAGTTTCAATCACTCTATGCATAAATAGATACAGAGATGGAGTTTCTTACTTACTGGACATCGGGCAGGCAATCATCTCTTTAGGCCTCTGTCTCCTCACATATAGGAGAATGATAATTTACCTCCCTTCTCAGGTAGGATCAAGTAAGGCTAATGCCAGCACATTATCAGTAAAGGGAAGCTGTGCTAGGTATGCAAATTGGAAATAGGTTTCCAATTTGCAAAGAGTAAAAGTGGAGCTCGTCTGTTTATATGACTTACGCAAAATCACACACGTAGTAAGAAAAAGAACCAGGACTCACTCAAACCCAAGTCTCCTGACTGCAGGGCCAGTGTTCACTCCTAGAAAACCCATTGCCATGAGAAGAGCTATTTATTTACATGTCGGGTGGCCCAGATGGCGGTGCTTTTATAGTTCTGTTTCTCTCTTCACAATCAGGATTGTCAATGTCATTCGTTGATGACATTGATGAAAATAAGTGCATCTTCAGTTCAGCTGCACTGAATTGAATTGAATGATGTTGAACTTTCCTCCACATTAGTATGCCTCACTGTAGCAGCCTCTCGAGTGCTATGTCTACTTCCACCCTAGCAATAGGCAAGTCAGATACAGGTTTCTCTAGTTTCAGTGTGAAATAAAAGTTACTGGGTTGGAAGTGAGGGCTTTGGGCTCCGCTAAGGATAAAGTGGACGTGCCCCAGCACAAAACTTTGCAATACTAATGTCTGCTGATCATTTGCTCACTTTCCCGTTCTCAGCTATGTCCCAGGTGGCCGAGACTTGCCAGAGAGGTGAGCTAGAATCACAACAGCATGAAACTAGAAGATGTTAGAGACAAACAAGTCTAAGTCCTCAAGTCAACTAACTGAGTTCCAAAGAGAATACTCATCCCAAGGTGACACAGCTAAGCTAGCAGGAAAACCAGGACTGGAGCTCAGCTATCCTGAGCCGGCTTCTGTGTCCAAACAGAATGTCATC